ACCTGGATGAAGCCTTGGAAATCATCTAATCCAATAATTTGTTCCTCAAATGTCAAAACTGAAACTCAAAGAGCTACAAGGAAGGGAAAAGCATTAGCTAATCAGTACTGATGAGGAAAGAAGGACCCATTTTATTACTGATATCATTCCTGGGTTTCCCTGAGCTATACTGACTTTCTCTTTGTTATTTTAACAGCCCCAGGACATGTGTCCTCCCATTCCAGCAGTCTCTACGCAGCTGTGCACTACAATGCCAGAATCTCACCGAGGTACATGCACACCCCTTGGCAGTTACCACAGCCTTACTTGGCATAAAGCTGTTATATAGACAGTTTTGTGTCTGAATGTGCAAACAGTCAAAATAGCATTTGGTTGCTCATTTCCATATTTAGATGGCATGGTGCTGAAGTAGGAAGGTAGTTGTTCAAACAAGTAGCAAGCTTAAAGAAGTGATGCTAAAAATTCCACCCTTGTTTTACTTACGTGGGCCTTAAAGAAAATGAGAATAGCTCATCCAAAATGGATACTTATTTTCTCTTGCATCGCATTTAATAATAACTTATATTTTAGCAAAAAAAAAAGATACACTAATGGTAATTTACAATTGTAGATTTTTAAAAAAAATTTCTCAGAGTGCTTCGAAATCTCTGAAGTAGGTCAAGTTAAATTGTATTTTCTACATTAGTAATTTAAGACAGAAACATTAGTGGTAGAAATAAACATGGTTTTGTCAGTGCCATTTTTCCAGTCTCCTATGATAGAAATCTCAGCCATCTTTGACTCTCTCATCTCTTCTACATGCCCTGTCTGAAAGACACGTACACTCTCTCTTTCAAATGTCTCTTGGCTTCTCCCCTTGCTTTCAGTTTTTGCTGTTACTTCTTTAGGCTAAGATCAACTCACTTCACACCATTCATTGGTACCTTCATGTTTTTCTTGACTCTAATCCTCTCTGAATTTAACTTCCATTCCAATTTTCATCAAACACCATTTGAATCACTTCAGTTTTCTGCTTAAGAGCCCACAATGACTCCTTACTGCCTACAGCATCAGGCTGAAACTCCTCTGATAGGATTTCACAGACTTCTATGTGGTTCCATCCAAAATTGCCAGTTTTGCTGCACAGTCTCTAATGTGAAACCTTCTCTCTTCTCAGGGTAATTTCTTTATCTTCTGCTAACATAATAATCATCCTCATCTTTTCATTTTTGCTCATCTTCTTCTCTAAAATTGGCTGGTTTTGTTTCACAACAATCTTTGAAACAGCTGGCTGCTTTTGATGAAAAGTAAGTTTCTACTAAAGGTTATACTTCTTACTCTTAATCTATAGTTTAGTCTAACATCAAGAAACACAAGTGGAAGATAATGTATATTTTTAATGAGGTGATTTTTAATTTATAAATAATTTCAATAACTTTAGATATATGGATGGAGGTTACATAGGCATATGACTGCACAAGGTAGGCAGGTGAGTAGAATCAGTTTACTTAAAAATGAGATCTGTAGTATTATTCTATTTGGTATTAATAATTCATATTTGATCAAACTTTCAAGATGAGTTTTAAATTTCCAACTACTTTTCTTGTGTAATATATTCAACTTATAAGAAAAACAAATATGTACATTTGTAATATGGAAAACTTCCAGTCAGAATTATGTCTACACATTAGAAAATTAAGAAGTTTGGCATTCATCAAAGTGATTTGGCCCCCAAAGAGAATTTTTGGCTTCAGTTTTTTAGACAATAATTAAAATACTGCTAAATTTCAACTTCACCTTGACCTGAAGGGACGATGAATCAGCTGAAGTTCAATCAATTCCATATTTTGGGGGTTGTATTCATGGTTATTGCCTCTACCCATAGCCTGCTCTGATGCCTTGTCATGATGCCTTGTCACAGCATGTGCATTATTTTTTTTTGTTCTCAAGTTCTCTGCCAGTAGAACACAAGGTCAAATAAATACTACCAAGATGGAAAAGCTGCAAAAGTACCTAAGAATATATTGTGTATCTGCTGAACAAGGAAAGGTCTCAATAATTCATTTCAATTCAATAAGTATTTATATGTATCAGGCATTGTACTATCTGTTAGGAACCAAAGGTAAAAAATTAAAAGCAGACCCTGTCCTTGAGGAGTTTGCATTCTTTTGGGAGACACAACAGGTAAACAAATGAGTAAATATAAGATACTTTGAAAGAGGGAGAGAACAGGGACAATCAGGGGCATCAAAAAAGAATCTGGTAAGATATGGCATATAAGCTGACTCGATGCAAGGGGAATCTCAGTGATGGAGGTGAGAAGGGACAACATTCTAGGCACAGAGGACAGCTCATGAAATGACAACAGAGTACAAGACAGAATGAGGGGTTCTGGTCATGCCATATAAGATATGATTCTAAGGCTTACCCTTATGGGAGAAGAACTGCTATAGTGACTGTTCATTAAAGGATTGCCCCCCCCCAAACTTTGGAGGGAAAAGAAACCCATTAAATCTTCTACTAAGTCATGGAAAAGTTAGGATGCATTTGTCAGAGGATAAAATCATAGATCCTTAAAACTTTGACATGATGTATAATGGTTGATTAGAATATAATCAATCATTAAATACATAGAGTTCCTTCTCAGCTATTAGTTTTGCAGAAGTAACCAACATAGCCATTTAATGATCTGTATCTTCAGTCAAACAGAAATAATTTCACAGCCTTAAAAACTTCACTTGCCTGAATTAGTATTTTAACATGTAGCTTCAGAATTTCACTTATAAAAATTCAAAATCCACACATACTGGAGAGATGTTTCCTCACTTCTAGGCTTGCATTACATAGTTGAATTCTCTATTAAGATCAAATGCGACAATGGACATGAAAGCAGTTTGAAAAATATAAAGTGCTAGAGAAATGTAACATATAAATCTGATTGTGTTTAAACTGCTATTTCATTTGGCAATAGTTTTTTTTTAAGTACCTGCAAAATGTGTTATTTATTACTTAACGGTGAAAGGACCCATATCCTCTATGATTTATTTTTTTCCACATAGAAATATAGGTTACTACAATCAAAGGAGTTATTGATTGGCTTTCCTATACATTTTATTTTGACTAAATGACAACAAAATAACTCGGAGAACTAGGTAGCATAATTGAGGCACGTTGGTACCTAATGTTAGCTTTATGGTGTAACTAGCTCACATGGAGATTCACAGAGCTGATGCATTTTAAAAGCAATCTGAGTCTTTTTTTTTTTCAAGTCCTTTTCTTCCCCTTCTCTAAAGAAAGAGACCGTGACCCAGAAGGCTTCTGAAATAAGAGCTGTAATTGGTTTTGGGTGCTGTTGTCCATCTTTTCACACATGCACAAAACAGCCACTGAGAGACTTTTTACAAATAAAGACAGCTTTGGCACACTGTACTTAAGTAAGAGCTCCAAATGTGAATTTAACTCCTTGAGTCATTTTCAGGCCTAGACTTCACAACCTAATTCTGTGGTCTGTCTCCATAACAACACTAATAACTTATGCCAGACCAGAGTCAGATAATGGACTGGAGTCTGTTTAATCTGATTCGATGGGCCCCTCTTTGTAAGCTTTGGTGACACATTTTTTAGGTCTGGTTTTTGTTGCATTTTGTTCAGACTGCCTTATTAGCCGTTATGCAGGCAGTAATCAAAATGCATGAGGCTAGATTTTCAGTTATCTACAAAGTAGATAAAATTGTGAAGCTCATTGAGTTCATACAATTGTTCATTTCAGACACTAATCCTAAATCTTCTGAAACAGAATTTCAAGCTAAGAGAGAAAGGAGCAGACACACAAAACAGGAAAGACATGCCTTAAGCCAGTGGATAATGTCCATTACTACTCAAATTTACTTATTTTAAACCCAAGAACATTTTATTTCCTGCTTTACCTTGCCCCTTGTCCAAGTGCAGCTTCTATATGTAGAAAATACAAACAATATTATAAAGATGATAACTCTCATCAATAGGCTGCATGGATCTTTTTACTGAATAGTTAGTTATATTGCTATGAAAATTATTAGCAGATGCACTGAACACTACTTTTCTTAAAATTTTGTAGCCCTATGTCACAGATTATGAAATGCTTTTAAAGCAAAACAGAGTTTTCTGATGTATTAAGGATAGGGAACGGACCTTTGTTTTCACTGAAACAGGAAACTCCCTATGCCAGTACAGGTAAGCACCATTCCTGAAACATAGTCTTAGAGAGTTACCTAGACCACTAAGAAGTTACATGACTTGCCCAGGGTCACAAAGGTAATATATGGCAGAGGTATATCTTGAACCTGGCTCTTCCTGGCTCCAAGGACAACTTTCTATCCATTACCCCACTGCCTTTTTTTCTAAATGATATGGCTACCCAAATCTGCTTCTAGATTCCTCAGCTTCTAAACCAAAAAGAAATTAAAAAATAATTAAAAGGTATTTCAACATCATGCTATGGAAATGGTCACTGAATTATGCACTACAACCATTTTACTCTGTATCGGACGAAAACACGATCAATGGTTATTGATTCTTTGTCCTCCAAGACCAGCAACAAGTAATAAAATCCTACTTAAGGTAACAATGCTAACAAAAAGAAACACCCTGAAACTCTGCAATTTCAGAATGGGACTGAGGAAATCCTGTCTTTATTACTCATCTAACCACTTTCCATTATTTACTAATCATTCTCGGTCTAACATTGTAGTGTATGCTCACACAGAGCTCTGCTGCCTACAAATAAAAGATATAATTTCATAAGAAGAGACAGGAAATCAAAGGTGCACCTAGTGTAACACTGTGCTCAATGAATGAGGGAAAAAATGGATAAATGAAGAATAAATTAGTATGCTTGTATCTGATAATATGAAAACAAATCAAGGGGTTGTAATAGGAAACAACATCAACAGAACTTTGTAAAAAATCTTCAACCAAAGACTCCTTCCTGCACCCTTACTTTAGTTGGTGTGCTTATAGTATTGTTTGCATGAAGTACTCACCATCCTCTGTGGGAACATAGATGTTTAGGTACAGGCAGTCTTCATTTTGGTCTTGCACATAGGTCATCAAAGTATCCAAATTAGCAGTAAACCAGATGGGGAGCATATCATGAAGAAGTGACCTCTCATCCAGGTGCTGAGGACAGACAGCAGCAAACTGGGTAGCATTTCGAACCCCTGTCCAAGACGATGGAGGCTCTGGGGGTTGAAATCGCCTCTCCCCAGTGGGAGGAGAAGCATAGGGTACACCTAAATATTGTTCCACTGGACCAAGAATCTCATTGGGCAAAGGTGTTCTTAGGCCACGGATTTTGCCGTAATTTGTGGTTACAACTGGATATTGTGCTTGGCTGTCAATAAGTGTAAACCTTATCGCAAGTGCTGTTATCCACAGGAGGAAATTGGAGTTCAACATGACACAAACTGGAGTGAAGAACAAAGGAAGCCATAACAGTCCCTTTGGCCTCGACATTGTTTATATCAACATCAGAAAGTCTCTGTCTTCCACGGCCAGGAGAAAAATAAAACCAGTCACCAAAACAGAGAGAACACTTTTTTAGAGCATAAAAGGCCTACAGCTAGGGGAGTGCTGAGAAGCCTCTGAGTCTGGTCATGGGCACATTCCAATATTATGAAAAAACAAGGTTGTTGATGTCTTTACAGCTCATTCCAAAAACACAATCCTCCTTTAATTCCAATAGCTATTTCCTCCAGGAAGGATGTTGAAATGATGTGGTGAACATCAGATAATACTTAGCTTCATAAGGACAGTGACTCCCATTCGATGATGCCAAGGCACAGATGCCAATCTATGGGATAAGAAAGAGCATAACATTAAAATGAATAAAATGCGGGAACAGCTGAGTAGTTTTCCTCTATCTTTATAGCATTGCCCCCTGCCCAAATGCCTTACAAATAGTAGTGACATCATCTTCTGATTTCACAACACTCATGATTGGTCTGTGACTAGGCACCAAAAAAATCCCAAACAAACAAATCCCTCCCAAAAAAAAGACACAAAACCACTACCAACAACAACCGCAAAACCCACTGCTTCCCCAAATTAAAGTAGCAAATAATTTCTTCATGAGAGATGAGCAGCAAATTTTTTTTTTCTCTCTACTAAAAACTGAAAAGTACACTCACTAGTCCAGGCCCAACTTGAGAACCTCTGGACAGCTAATTAACAATTATGAGTAGGTCTACTTTTTATCTTTATTCAGATGTTTTATAGAAATATTTCAAGTTGTGTTTTAAAATCTCACAGTAAATTATTCTTACATTCTTATTGAGCTTTTAAGGGGTCTTTTTTTTTACATTTTTTAAAAAAAATTACCCTTCCCGTCTCTTTGTTGTCTTTAATGTTTTGTTATTTTGTATTTGTCAGTAATTAAATAATTAATTTATTTGTTTATTCATTTATTATCTATTTGCTTATTCACATGTTTATCTGTTTATTCATTTATTCATTTGTTTATTTAATTATTCATCTGCCTATTTGTTTTCATCCAGATCTACAATTTCATTGGTATAGGGAGTTTCTGATATAGGATAATCATATATGATACAGACTGCTATCTCTTTGTAATTTGCAGTCTTTTTTTTTTTTACTAAGCAATTGGGGTTTAGTGACTTGCCCAAGGTCACACAGCTAGTAAGTATCAACTGTTTGGTCTGAGGCCTGATTTGAATTCAGGAACTCCTGACTTCAGGGCTGGTACTCTTTTCCATTTTATGTAATTTGCAGTCTTACACAGTTGCCAAAAAAGTTAAAAGACTTACTCAAGGGGGTCACAGCACTAATATTGTTAGAAGCAAACTTGAACCCATGTTTTTACTGTATACTATGCCATACTGTTCTCTATGGTCAGCACAACATTAACTAACACTAGATAAAACATTGCTCATATGACATCAAATATCTTTGCCCACTGCTGAATAGTTATTGTAAACGATGCCCTTTCTTCCAAGAAAGGAAAGCAATTTCCAACTATCAGCAAAAATCAACAAGCATTTATAAAGCACCTACTAAGTGCCAGGCACTGTGCTAGGTGCTGGAGACACAAATATAAAATAAAATTAATTAATCCTTACTCTCAAGGAGTTTATAGGAGATTTTAAATGTAGTGTTGCAAAGTATAAATATAAAACTTGAAACTAATGTGGAGTATTTGTGAGTTTTTTTATCTAAAATGTAACCATGTATTCTATTTCATTGAAAAAATATGCATTAGAATAGAAAGGAAAAAGCTAGGCTGTTTTCCTTTGTTTCTCCTTTGCAGAGTAGTAATGTGGGGGAAAAACAGATTTTTAGCACCTGATAGTGATTACAATGTTTAAGTAAGTTAAATACTCATTTAAACATGTTTAAAGCTATGGAAAGGAAAAAATACAGAAAAATTCGCTGACATGTTTTAGTCTAGCTTTTTGTTTTCTACTTGATAAAACATTTGGGATTCTGCCATGAGTAGATAGAGCCTCTAAATGGTTAAGAGACAGCCAAAAGAGAAGCAGGTGATGACATTATGCTTGGCTGAATCAATATCCTTGAAAGCCTCTAAGCTTACTAATCAACCAATCCCTCCTTCAAGGCATTTTGTCCATAAAAGATATGACATCACCTACACTCTAAAGGTCCAATTCACATTTTCAATAGATCAGAAACAAACACGTCAGTGTACTGAGCTTGCATAATTAAATAATGGAATTTAAAAAGAAATAACCCATGTTTCTGAAATTCAAGCCTTAATAAACGAACAAAATATTCATTATAGCATTTAAGAATATTCCTCACAGTACAGAGATGTTTCTATGTGGCATATTTTTAAATGCATGCATTTGACAGAAAAATAACACCAACATGAGCTAAAAAAAGTTTCACATAAAAAATTGAATAAAACAGAAAACATCTAACTCCTATAGATGTTTCCTCAAAAATGTACTCAATATAACAGAATATAAACTTGAAGAGATGCATAACCATCATTAAAAAGCTTCCCCTTGCTCTCTATTTTAACTAAGTGATATTCAAATTATAAACTTGAAAAGTTGCTACATTCTCTGTATTCATGTCATTGTCAGTCTGATCAAATGGCAGTTATCCTCCAAGATGAATTTTCATTTTAGGAAAAAGAAGTCATAAGACATCCTATCTGCATGACCAGTCATCAACACAGTGAAAACAAAGAGACATAATCTCAGATTCCAAGATCATTCCCAGCCATGTGGATGTGCACAAAGAGCAGCATAGTAATAGGACATAAAGATGTATAAATCTAGTCCCAATTCTGCCACTAACTAGTGTCTGGCCTGAGGCAGCCCCTCAACCTCTTTCAGCCTCAGTTTCCCTACTCATAAACTTGTGAAGCTGAATAAATCATGTCTACAATCCCTTATAGTTTTATAGTCTCTTATAGTTCTGATTCTATGACTTAAGGCATGAAGCCTTCTCTAAGCACAAAGGAGAGCCTAGTTAAGTGGGTTCATACCGGGATTATCTGAAGTACCTCTTGCCAGGACATTTCTGGTCTAATCTTTAATTTAAACATAGCTTGAACTCAGAATATATCAAAACTTTCAGTCTTACATATTAACTGATAAAGCCTTTGGCTTTCCAAGGAATAGCCAAGACCTGACTAGATTTTCAAAACAGCCATATAGCAGAAATGGTATAGTAGAGTAAAAATAAAGTTGGATTGAGAAAAAGAAAACTGAGTTTCAGATTTTGGTTCTGCTACTACTACCTGTGTGACCCTTGACAGGTCATTTCATGTATCTGGACTTCTGTTTCTTTAATTATGAAGTGGAAGATAGGAACTAAATGATTCCCATCACCCCCTTCAATTCCAAATCCTATGATGAGAAATCAGGTTGATCCATCCCAGTACACTCACACACAGATGATAGTTCAAGAGTTCATGAAGTTTCTAGAACCAGCTTGGGACCAGAGAAGTACAGTCTAGGAGCAGCTCACTACCATTGGGATTGTGTTATTAATTCATCATTTATCAGAGTTCCCAGAAGACTGGAAAGTTATGTTAATTTAAATATTTAAATACTTTAAGTGATTTACCATATTTCTACTCTCTCCATATAAGAAGAAAACTGAGGCAGCTAGATGGCACAGTAGATAGAGCACCAGCCCTGAAGTCAGGAGGATCTGAGTTCAAATCTAGCCTCAGACCAAACACTTCACACTAGCTGTGTGACCATGGGCAAGTCACTTAACCCCAATCGCAGAGAGAGAGAGAGAGAGAGAGAGAGAGAGAGAGAGAGAGAGAGAGAAATCCTTTCATGCTTTGTTTTAGTGGAGAGTCTTCATGTATTGCTAAGATCACATTGAAAAAAATATATATATACACGTATATATATATATATATATATATATATATATATATATATATATAAAACAATTAAACAAACAAGAACATCACCTAGTGACCAATGTCTCCAACTGCACACTCCTCTGAAAGCATTTCTAACTTGGTGTGACCTAACACAGATTTGCTTCCTTGACACAGCCTTTGATAATTGTAGATTTCTTCCATGACACAATGAGGCATAAAAGTAGGATTTTATCAGAGAACTAATATAAATTTTTTTGAGATGGATTATATACAAACACACACACAAATGCATGCACATACATACAAACACCTCCCTGTTCTTCTTTCACAATTTTCAAACACTGATTAATTTACCTTGATATAGGGTAAATTATCAGTAATGGTTTCACTAAAGTGATAAGTTCTGGACAGATTGAAAGTTCATGTTTAGTAATTATATTACCTAGTTTTTAAAAAGCAACATACAAAAGGAACATAGCTTTTTTACTATAACAGGTTATTCTTATTATAAATTTTCAAGTTGTTTCACTTGTAATAAATGACATTCTCTAGCAAAAGAGGAAGTTCTATTATCTTCCATTGAAGTAGAACATAACAAAAAAATTCTATATCTGACAGTGCGACGTAAAAGTTATATGAAAATATGGTGTCCCTTCCCTTTGAAAGCACTTTGCTTGGCTCCAGAGAACAATTCACTTTGGCTCCAGAGAAAGTGAACCTTCTTCTATGGAATATTACAAATACTGTCGGAAGGTAGATATTTTGGTTAGTTTTGTGGAACTGTTTCTTTTTCTTCTTTTTTAAATCCTTCTTACAAAAGATGGTTTATTGGGGGCAGGAGATAGAAATATCTTGGGGAATTAATGAAAGATTTTCTAGGGCACAATCTATTTCCTTTTTGTCTTTGTACTCTCCACCACCTAGCCCAGTGTCTTGCACATAGTAGGTGCTCAAGAAAATATTTGGTGAATTTAATACATTACAAAAAATTCATTATGATTGAATTTGACCAGGCATTTTTAGAAAGATCATTTATTGGTCAAGCCTTAAGTGGGCTACATTAGGCAGAAACTAATACAATTGTGTTCAATTACTCTGGAAGAAATTCTATTTGAGACATGGCCAAAACCATTTAAGCATTCCATAATGTGACTGGGTCAAATTAAAAATTCCATTATGTGATACCAAAGGAGAGTAGGTATTTCATACATCATCAAGTCATTCTGAATTTGTTGCAAGAGCTAGTAGTAATGGCTAGAAGAGACCTGACAAATGGTTGTTTTCTTTGATTTTAGCCACTCTAGGAATAAACTCATACCTCCTCTGTATAGTCTTTCTTAATGTCACAAAGTCATTAAAACAAACTGAAGACACTTTGTGGACAAGTCTTACTTTGAGAAAGATGAATTGCTCTGCCTATATATTGTGGAACAATGATGAAAAGAAATCAAGATTTTAATAGG